TTTTTTCTGAAATGTCTCTCCAACATGTGAATTCTCAGGAAAAACTGCATTTCTTCTGCCAACATGTACCATGGGGAATGAAAGCCTATTTTTGTCAAGACTGTGGAACAACAATATTTGGGAGGCTACAATTTCTTAGTTTGTTCTAGAGAAAGAGCAACATATTAAGTCTTTCTCCCTGGTTTCTCTGAGCTAGTGATAAAAATAACAGATACAAGAAAGAGAAGGTGCTTTTAGGGAGTTTTCCCCCCCTCAAGCCCTGTAATATTCACTCTGAGTGTGCTTGCGTGCATGCATGTGCACATGTATATGTACATGCACATGTATGCATTAGGGGTGATGGAGAATATTGGCTGAATTCTCTATTCAGGCATTATCTCAGAGAGAATTTAAGAAAAATATTTACTCTTCTTTTTACCCTGAGATTCTATGTGAAATCATATATCATATCAATACTAAAAATCAGTATCGTATCAGTACTAAAAAGTTTCAGGATAATTTTTCTTTCAAATTGCATGAGATTTTTTTTAAAAATTCCTCCACTGAATATTACCCTTCCTGTACAGTAATTACCTGGTTCTCACAGAACGGCCACCTTTCCTGAGCAGAATTCAGCCGAAAGGGCATAAAGCTGGATAGAACTTGGTTGTTTCTGGTGCAAAACAATAGATGAAACTATTGGGGCAGGGGTTCATTTCCATGTGAAACTTAAATGTCTCACTGATGGTGGAAGGAGATCTTGGTTGGGACCCTTAGCTGGGCAAGACTTGGAAAATCACCAACAAGAAGAAATGTTGTGATACTTCATCACATCCCTAGCACAAATGATCTCTGCACAAAATTAGTGATGATCTCTGCACAAAATAAGTGCCCACCCTTTGTCTCTCTCTCTCTCTCTCTCTCTCTCTCTCTCTCACACACACACACACACACACACACACACACACACACACACACACACACACACAGAGTGGCTGGCTGATTGTTGAAAAATGATGTGAAGAAATCTTTCAGTGTTTCTAATCATTAAACACACATACAAAAATTACAGCAGCCATCATCACTAAGTGCCACTTACATGAAACCTTTCTTGGTATTCTTTGGCTTTACTTGTGCATCCTTCCTCTCCCTCAAATACTTTCTTCTTTTTCTTGTTGAGGACAGCACAAAATGCTTCACCCTCTCATGGGGCAAGCACAACAATTTTATGATTTCTTGTCATTCCATACAAGGGTGGGACAAAGAACAATTTACATCCTAGTATGCACACCCCTTCATGGATTGCTGCCTTGTCGCGGCGAAGGGGCTTGAGCAACTCAGAGAAGCTATGGGCTATGCCGTGCAGGGCCACCCAAGACGGACAGGTCATAGTGGAGAGTTCCGACTAAACGCAATCCACCTGGAGTAGGAACCGGCAATTCCACTCCAGTATCTTTGCCAAGAATGCCCCATGATCAGAAACAAAAGGCTAAAAGATATGACGCTGGAAGATGGGCCCCTCAGGTCAGAAGGCGTCCAACATACTACTGAGGAAGAGCGGAGGACAAGTACAAGTAGCTCCAGAGCTAATGAAGTGGTTGGGCCAAAGCCGAAAGGACGCTCAGCTGTGGACGTGCCTGGAAGTGAAAGGAAAGTCCGATGTTGCAAAGAAAAATATTGCATAGGAACCTGGAATGTAAGATCCATGAACCTTGGGAAGCTGGAGGTGGTCAAACAGGAGATGGCAAGAATAAACATTGACATCCTGGGCATCAGTGAACTAAAATGGACAGGAATGGGTGAATTCAACTCAGATGATTATCATGTCTACTATTGTGGGCA